TAAAAGAATGAAGTTGGACTCTTACCTCATATCATACATAAAAATGAACTCAAAATGGATCACAGACCTAAATGAATGAGACAACACTGTAAAACTCTTAGAATAACATACTAAGGAATTTGAACATTGTTATATGTGCAATGGGAAGAGGATGGTTTTTGAGGGTTAATAGATGATCGAGCACACCTCTCCTTCACCCCTTCTGTGCCAGGCCCTGTGCTAGGTGCACAGATTAATCTGCCACAGTCCCTACCTGCAAGCAGCTTTCAGTCTATGTGGAAGGTAGACGTGCACACTGACAATCACAAGCCACTGTGGAAAGTATCATCATAGAGCTGGGGTTCTCAACCTCAGCACTATTAACATTTTGCACTGGATAATTTTCTGTGGGAAGCTTTCCTCTGCATTGTAGGATATTTAGCAGCATCCCTGCTCTCTCCCCACTAGATGCCAGTAGCATACCCCAGTCAAGATAATCAAAATGTCTCCAGACTTTACTAAATGTCACATGGGGAGAAAAATCAGCCCCAGTTGAGAGCTACTGTTACAAGGTAAGCACAGTGGGGTCTTCTCACTAGAGTGCCTTAGGATGAGTCGGTGAAGCCGTCTTGGAATACTGAGATGCCAGTACCTCTTTCCCAGTCATGACTTCGCTATGTAGGGTTTTCTTGGGTCCTCTGCAAGGTATATTTATCTCCTTTCTTTCTTTTGCCTCCAGGCTGTGGTCAGTGCAATCAGAAAATTCCTAGAGGGCATCCCGGACCTGCGCCTAGTCTATACCCACCACCCACTCCTGCTCAGGTTCTTCCTGTCATATCCAGAGCTAATGAGTAGGTTTGGACACCATGTCCTGGAACTTTGGTTCTCCTGGGAAGACTGCAGCTATGAGGAACTGGATGATGCCCCCTCTGCTGAGCAGCCCACGCTTCCGACCAGTTTAGCAGCCCTGTTCCAGATGCTCAGAAGCAGCCCCAGTATCCTGCTCATTTTGCTAGTAGGTGCCCACTCGTTCACTTCTGCATTCGGAGATGGTGGGCCTTCTCTCTCTGGGAGCTGGTGTACTGAGGTCAGGAGGCAGGCTCAGCTGCTTCTGCCTGCCTCTGCACTTATCACTGTCGCCATGTGAGTGGGAGGTTTTTTCTGCTTGTGGGTGCCTAGTTTCTAGCTGTACCCTTTCCTAAGTCTGATGGAGGGCTACCCACTGAGACATATGTGCCTCTCTTCCCCCCAGACAATGTAACCATAAAATGTGGATCTCAGTCACTATTCATTCTCACTTCCCTGTCCTCTCTCAAGCAGATTCTGCTAACAGAGTTTAATGTCAAAGGAGACTCCTGGGGCATGTAGATGGAGATGTCTGATTGCAGAGGGACTCTGCCTTTTTTCTGCCGTGACTCACATGGGAATATTATGCGTGCAACACACTTCCTCAGGCATACCTAGAATTGTCAGAAACCTCAATACTTTTTCATGAAGTAAGACATTACTATAATTCCTATCAATTTACTAATTTACATCAATTAGGTGAGGTAAATTGCCTATTGTCTGAAATTTCTGACATCCTGGCTTTAACTCCACCTTTTTTCCCTTCCACTCAGGAAATCACGTTGAAAAACAAATTAGTGAGAGTGACATTATCATAGAAGTAACTGCTATAATTCATGTATTTTTTAAAAGAAAATTATTTGCACATTGGACACTCTGTATTTAGTCAGAGATTATTGCTAGCAGGTCCTAAATTGATTGCAACACACCAGCTGGAGACACTTGCTTTAGAATCACTGCCTTCAATGCCACTCAGCCCTCCCAGGCCAAGGAGGACGACACAGCCCATTAGGGAAGAGTGAGGATCCTTTGATGCTCTTGTCATAAACAAACATGATTTTCTGACTTTATTGGAGTGACACCTGCATGTTGTATGTCACATGTCCTTTGGTATCCATATCTGCCCACATTCACACATGCTAGCACACACACACACTCACACAAACACATGCACGTACATGATCCCCACTCTTCGCCTCCCATCTGAGATCTGTTGTCTTTTGAGATCACACATATGTTGTCTTGATGGGGGCTGTGTTCATGCTTTAGCTCAAATTCTTCCTTGGAAGAAGAAGAAAGAAGAAGAAGGAATGTGTTAAAAATAAAATATTCGTGCACAGGAAAAGGAGGCAAGATGGGATGCCAAGGAGTGTAGCGGTGGACAGAACTAAGATATTAGGTTTGTTGGCTGGGCTTGGTGGCTCATGCCTGTACTCCTAGCACTCTGGGAGGCCGAGACGGGAGGATTGCTTGAACTCAGGAGTTCAAGATATTAGGTTTGCTTTGCCAGATGAAGTATTCAGGGTCAGTTCTTCACATAGAGTAGGAACTTATAAATATTTCTGACCTATTGAATTAGGAATCTGGACGGATCTAAATCGCTCTCTCAAAAAAAAAAGAATTCAGATCCTCTGAAAGAGATACTAATGATAGTACAGTCATGCATCACTTAATGATGGGGATACATTGTGAGAAATGAGTCATTAGGTGACTTTGTCATTATGTGAATGTATCATAGAGGGTACTTAGACACACCTAGATGGTATAACCTCCTACAGACCTAGGCTAGATGATATGGTCTAGTGCTCCCCGGCTACAAACTTGTACAGTGTGTTACTGTATCGAATATTGTAGGCAAATGTAACACAATGGTAAGTATTTGTGTATCTAAATATATCTAAACATAGAAAAGGTTCGGTAAAAATATGTGGTATTATAGAGTCAGTTGTGGTGGTGTGTGCCTATAGTCCCAGCTGTGGGGGAGGCTGAGGTGGGAGGATCACTTGAAGCCAGGAGTTCAAGGCTGCAGTGAGCTATGATCATGCCTGTGAATAGCCACTGCACTCTAGTCTGGGATACAGAGTGAGACCCTGTCTGCAAAAAAAAAAAAAAAGAAAAGAAAAGTAGTATTATAATCTTATGGGAGTACTGTCACATATACAGTCTATCATTAACCAAAACATTATGTGGTATATAACTATATCTTATTTTTTCTTTTTCTTTTCTTTCTTTCTTTTTTTTTTTTGAGACAGGGTTTCACTATGTTGCCCAGGCTAGAGTACAGTGGCGTCATCATACTCTGACCTCAAGCGATCCTCCCTCCTTAGTCTCCCAAAGTGCTAGGATTACAGGCATGAGCCACTGTCTTTTCAATCAGTCTATTTTCTGTAGGTTATTTCATTCATACTCATGGCTTTGGTTGCCTCCTGCCCATATGTTGATGACTCAAATCTCTGCCACCACCCCTGACCTCTCTGCTGAGCTCATGAAGCCAACTATCTATTTTACATTTCTGTTTAAAATGAGCTCATTATCTCCTCTCCCAAGTTCCCTTGCTCAGTCTGAGTCTTCCTAGGGTGAAGGTCTCTCCCTAGCTGACGGCTGTACTAGGCCACTATCTTAAAGAACCTAAGTACTTAAAAGAAGGAAACCAATGAGAAAGTGAATCTCAGTAGACCAAATCCTTGGAGAGTCCAAGTCCCGGAGAGGATAGAGTGGGTGCCTTACCCTTTATCCTAGTGACCCAGACCTTGTCCTTGAATGTGCACCATCCTCTTCATGTCTCCTTTCTAGAGCAAGTGGGGCTGGGTAGAGAGGAGTTTTGTGCTTCACCTGGCCTAGAGCTTAACAGGAAGGAGCCGCCTTCAGGACTGGATGCTGCCTAGAGGCCTAGGGAGGTAAAGGCTTCTCTGAACTTCAGTTTCCTCACCTGTAAAATGGAGCTAACATGAGGGAAGATGAGATAGTATGTAGGAACACTCTTGGTACGCTGCACACAGTAGGCTGTCATTCACTAATCATTGACTCCTACTCTGAACTAGATAAAGAAGTTCATCTCAGAGAGGATGATTGAATTACCCAAGGTCATATGGCTAATAAAGGTCATGGCCATGACTGAACCCAGAGTTAATAAGTGTTTCACTAAATTAGATCCTAGAGACATCAGTGGTAAAAAAGAACACAAGGAACAACTTTATTGTCTGTTCAAATATATAATTCGTGCATTTCTCCCTAGCATCTAGCCACAGGAGGGGAAAAGAGTCTAAAAATATGTGTTGGTACCAATTTCTCTTTTTGATATGGGTAATTAACAGCTGAAAACAAAGCTGTTAATTGCCACTCTTATCAATGGGTGGTCTTTCATGTAGGTTGTTTAGATGTGAAAAACAGCAATGTCACAAAAGCTCTGTTTGTTCCCTGCTTGGCCAAGTCATCCTGGTCAGTCCATTCCCAGACAGTTCTGGACAGCTCTGGGCAGAGACTACAGAGTGGGCCACAGTTCTGCCCAGAGCCTTTTCACTGACCTACATGGTAGGGTGCACACCTTCCCCCAGCAATCACCATGGCCACCAAAAGCTGACTAGCCCTTACCTTTCAGACCTTTAAAATTCATTAACCTAGAATTCTTTGTTTGTTTGTTTTTGTTTTTGAGACAGGGTCTTGCTCTCTTGCCTAGGCTAGAGTGTAGTGGCATCATCACAGCTCATTGCAACCTCAAACTCCTGGGCTCAAGCAATTCTCTCGCCTCAGCCTCCTAAGTAGCTGGGAATACAGGTGTGTGCCACCACACCAGCTAATTTTTCTGGTTTTTTTTTTTTTTTGTAGAGATGGGGTCTTGCTGTGTTGCTCAGGCTAGTCTCAGACTCCTGGCCTCAAGTGATTCTCCTGCCTTGGCCTCCCCAATTGCTAGGATTACAGGCATGAGCCACCATGCCTGGCCCATTAACCTAGATTTCTGAGAGACCAGCACTGTGGCAGTGGGGCAGTGATGTGTTAGTGAAGGAAAGGGACCAGGAAACTGGTTTGGCCTTGGGCTTCATGACCTTGGGCAAATCGTACCTCCTCTCTGGGCTTTAGCTTCTTACTCTGTAAAGTAAAAGAGTTGAACAAAATGATCTAGATTCTCTGTAGCCCTGCATTCTGCGGTCCTTCCTTTCCAGAGATGCTTTCTGAGTCCCTACAAGGTAACAAAGATGAGGCAGGCCTCATCCCTCCCCTTCATTAACTCACAGCATAGTAGAATTTACAACTCCATACTTTCTTGATAGGCAGACTGATTAATCTGCCCCAGATTTCTCATTTGAAAAATTGAAGCGACACCTACCTGGCAGAGTTATCATGAAGATATAAATAATGTTATAAATAAATACATAACTACTGTATAAACACAGCATAGTATCTCACATTACTAGGCCCTAACTGAATGGTTTTTGTTGTTGTTTTTTTTAAGACAGGGTCTCGCTCTGTTTCCTGGGCTGGAGTGCAGCGGGGTCATCATAGTTCACTGCAGCCTCATTTCTTGGGCTCAAATGATCCTCCTGCCTCAGCCTCCCGAGTAGCTGGGACTACAGGCACACACCACCATGCCCAGCTAATTTTTTAAAAATTGTTTGTAGAGATAGAATCTCACTATTGCCAGGCTGGTCTTGAACTCCTGGCCTCAAGCAATCCTCCTGCCTCAGCTTCCCAAAGTGCCAGGATTACAGGCACAAGCCATGCACCTGGCCTGTTATTGTTATTATAGTTGTTTCTCCAGCAACTGTGGAGGTCTGTGAAGAGCCCAGATGCCTCTGTGCCCCTCTCTGTCTGTCCCGTGATCAGCACATCTGGATCTGTCTGGCAAAGTGCCCTGTTGCCATGTCTTTGTGAGTGTCAGGAGATGTCTTCCCCAGAGAGGGAGGCTGTGTGTGACCTTGGATTCATAGCACCCAGTCCTAACTGGCCCAGCACATTAGCTTTTCCAAAAGAATTGGCTTATTTGAGCTGGTAGGTGCCAGAAGCTATCAGTGAGATAGACTCTGGTGCAGTTCATGACTGGTTTTGCCTTTAACATACCCTCATAAAATAACTCTAAAACAAAATAAAAAACACTCTTCTTCCCTATCTTCCAAACCCATAGCCTTTACAGCTTGGGACAGAAATAGCCAGATGCCATGGCAGAGAAAGGGCCTGACCTGGTCCTCGCTTCCCTTCCTGTGCCCTGAATCTGTCCTAGTCCATCCTCTCCTTGCTCTGTGACATCTCCCTCCCTCTCTCCTTCTCTTCTCCCTTAATGTACACTCAGGTTCCCTGTCCTGAAAACAACCTCTTGACCCTAATACTTTCATTTGCAAGAGGGAGGCATCCTGGAAAGTAGGAAGAGCTTTGGGCTTGGAGGTAGGGGACCTGTGTTCAATTCTGTCTGTACCACCTCCTGGCTTATGTAACCTTTGGCAAGTCATATAATCTCTTTGAGTCTCTGTGTCCTCCTGTTTGGGATGGACTTAACAGAATGGACCTATGCTACAGGATGGTTGTAAGGGGTCAGTGTACCTAGCAGAGCCTTTGGTACATGATGGGTGCTAAATGAGAGAGATTACCCTGCTTTTGTAACACCATCATTCTGGGCCCTTTCCCTGCCCCTCTATTCACTGTCACCTGTCCCTACATGTGATGCCCTCTGAGCTCTGGCTTTCTTCTTTCCTGTTCAGGACCTCATCTATTCCAGCCCAGTGGACACAGCTCGCAAGGTATTGATCACCCTGAGGATCTTCCTGAGGAGGAACGAAGATGTCCAAGTGGGTGGTCTCATCCGAGGCCACTTCCTGCTGATCCTGCAGCATCTGCTGGTGGAACATGGGGCCTCCCCCTCAGGAGGTCAGTCTGCAGGTGCTGTGGGCACATTTTGGCATGAAGGCCAGTGAAGAGTGGACATCTCTGCCGTGGTGAGGTCTGCTCCAGGAGAAAGAATTGGGGTTTTCTCTGCCAAAGAAAAGTCAGGCCATTGTGGCATCAAGCGAAATCTCTCCCCTTTTCTCTCACTGGCGAGTGGGTGCACAACATGTTTGGTTTGGGGTGTGTGTGTGTGTGTGTGTGTGTGTGTGTGGTGTTGAGTGTGTTTAATGTGAGTGGGTGTGTTCGATATATGTGTGCATGTCCCCACCCTATGCGGCACGTGCTCAGAGTCATTTGTCACAGAATGACAGGCCCCAGTGGGAAGAAGAAAATGGGAGTCTGGGAGGTGGCAGCAGCCAGCAGGGGCCGGGGAGGGAGGCGGATCTGTGATGTGTTGAAAGCTCCCAGGGAGAGCCAGGAGAATAGTTTCCAAATCTGGAATGGACTCCGTGGGTCAGAGAAGCTTGATGTTTGGTATGGTATGAAGAGACTGAAAGTTGGGATGGGTTTGTTTTTCCTATTTTTAGTGGAGGCTGAATTTTTAAATTATTAATAAATTTCTAAGCAATCAAGAGAAAGTGGGAGGAGATCTGTGGCTCACTTGGTCCAATCCTGATAGGACTAAAGGGGACCGAGAAGGTTAAGAGATTAACTCATGTAATCTCTTCGAGTCTCTGTTCCCTCCTGTTTGGGATGGACTTAACAGAGTGGACCTATGCTACAGGATGGTTGTGAGGGTCAGTGTACCTAGCAGTCTTTGGTACATGATGCGTGCTAAGTGACAGAGAGATTACCTGGCTTTTGTAACACTGTCATCCTGGGCCCTGAGGGGACTGAGGACTGAAGGGGTTAAGAAGTAGATTTAAGCGTGTCTAAAGGAGATGAGTTCTTTCTCTGCAGGGAAGGACAAGACATGTTTAACTGATAATACTGTTTAAGAACCATAAGATTTAGTGGAAACACATAATGGGGAGGCCATAGCATTGGATTCAGATTTGGGTTTAAGCTCTGGCCTTATGTTTTATTCTGTGTGGGCTGTTATAACAGAAAACCATAGACTTGGTGACTTATAAACAATAGAAGTTTACTTCTGACAGTTCTTGGGGCTAGGAAATACAAAATCAAGGTGCTGGCAGATTCAGTGTTTGGTGAAAGCCCACTTCCTGGTTCGTAGACGGCTATCTTCTTACTGTGTTCTCACATGGCAGAAAGGGCAAAGGAGGGAGCTCTCTGGAGTCTCTTTTTTTTTTGAGACAGAGTCTCACTGTGTTGCCCGGGCTAGAGTGCCGTGGCGTCATCCTAGCTCACAGCAACCTCACACTCCTGGGCTTGGCCAGGCGCGGTGGCTCACGCCTGTAATCCTAGCTCCCTGGGAGGCCGAGGCAGGCGGATTGTTTGAGCTCAGGAGTTCGAAGCCAGCCTGAGCAAGAGCGAGACCCCGTCTCTACTAAAAATTAGAAAGAAATTAATCGGCCAACTAAAAATATATAGAAAAAATTAGCCGGGCATGGTGGCGCATGCCTGTAGTCCCAGCTACTCGGGAGGCTGAGGCAGGAGGATCGCTTGAGCCCAGGAGTGTGAGGTTGCTGTGAGCTAGGCTGACGCCACGGCACTCACTGTAGCCAGGGCAACACAATGAGACTCTTGTCTCAAAAAAAAAAAAACAAAAAAAAAAACTCCTGGGCTCAAGCGATCCTCCTGCCTCAGCCTCCCGAGTAGCTGGGACTACAGGCATGCGCCACCATGCCCGGCTAATTTTTTCTATATATTTTTAGTTGGCCGATTAATTTCTTTCTAATTTTTAGTAGAGACGGGGTCTCGCTCTTGCTCAGGCTGGCTTCGAACTCCTGAGCTCAAACAATCCGCCCGCCTCGGCCTCCCAGGGAGCTAGGATTACAGGCGTGAGCCACTGCGTCCGGCCTGGAGTCTCTTTTTTAAGGGCATTAATCCCATTCATGAGGGCCCCCATGACCTAATCCCCTTCCAAAGGCCCCACTTCGTAATACCATCATATTGGGGGTTAAGATTTCAACATATGACTTTTGGAGGAACACAAACATTCAGACCATAGCATCCTACAACATGCTGGCTGTGGGACCTTGGAGAAGTCACTCAGCCTCTCTCAGCTTCAATTTCTTAAGTGCAAAATAGGAATAACAATCCTTGCTTCATATATTTTTTAGTGGGATAAGTGAAAAAATGAATTCCTGGTACCAATCCGTATCTGACACTCAGTATGTCAATTACCCCATTCCCAATGAAGAAGGAAGTAGGGGTAAATCCCAAATAAACACCTGACCCCTTTGGAAATAGAGAACTCAGGTGCCCTCTATTAAGGGATGTCTAGGCAGGATGTCTGACCTTTGGGTGATCTGAGCGTCAGGTTCCCTGACCAGCCCTCCTCGGTCTTCACAGCCTCAAGGAACCTGCCACTGCTGCTGGGCCTCCTCTCCCTAGTGCAGCTGAGGAATGAGCCAGAGCAAGAACTGGACAGCATGGCCATGAAGCTCCTTCACCAAGGTGACTTAGCCACTGGGGACAGTGCCCAAGAGCCCAAAGCTAGGTGTGCAGTGGGTGCTCACTCAGTAGTGCTGATGTTTTTTTACTTCTCTTCTTTCATCCCTTTGAAAGAAGCTAGTAGGTCAGTCTGTCCCTGGGGGCTTCTTGCTAAGGGACCTGTCAGGGCTTCCTCTGCTTGTCCCCTGGTAGTGTTTGGGAGACAAAAAAAAAAAAAAAAAATACAATCAGTGCATGATAGGCTCAGGCTCTAGAGTCAGGAAGGCCTGGGTTTGAATCTCAGCTTAGTCATTAGCTGTGTGACATTGGGCAATCACCTATGAGCGTTAGGCTCTACATAGGTAAAATAATAGCACTTCCCTGACCTAGGGTTGAGATAAGTAATACTTACCTAGCAGATGGAGAATGCCACACAGTGCTTGGCTCACAGTAGGCCTTCAACAGGTACTATCTGTGTAGATTCCTTTTTCCTGGCACAAGGACAACTCTCCAGCTCATCCCACAATTGACTCAGATCTGATGATCCAGTTCACAGTTTTCTAGGTATCTTTTCTCCCCACATCCCAAACCTCATTGAGATTTTTCATGGCTTATGAATGTTGTCATCTCTTCATAGGCAGCACCCTCAGGAAGATTTGCTGAGGGAAGGTTAAAATGAATAGGAAAAATGACACGTCTTCAGTGTCTGTGGGCTCTCAGGTCCCCGGGCCACAGGGGAGGATGGGGTGCTCTCCCCGCCTGGAGCTCAGTCTTCCTCATGAGAAGATCAGTGTCAGGCTCAAAAAGGGCCACTGGGGACAGACAGCAAACCCTGCCTTGGCCTGGTGCTAGTCATCACTGATCTCTCCGTCAGATCAAGGCTGACACTAAGCTGGAAGGGAGATCTGTGTGTGACACAGTCAGCCTTCACGCAGGCTTCTGACAGGGAGGAATAACAGGCTGAAACCTACACGTGAAACGTAATAGACATTTACGTATAATCCTCCAGTATTCCTATTTGTGAGCACTGAGAAAAGAGGACTGTGTTTTATGGGCGGAGGTGCCAGTGGGGAGAGACATGCTTGTCCGGTGGACCACAAACCTGTTAGGAATCAGAGTGTGATGTGCCTGCCACAAAGGGGATGGACACTTAGGTAGGTTTCATGCTAGAGAGGGGAGGAAGACAGGGAGTGGCAGTTCCCAGGAGGAGAGGGATGTGTTCTGTAGCTATCTGCTCTACAGTGTAGTACTGCTCTTCGGAGGGATGGGGAGCACAGATGTTCCTTAGCTCTCTACTCGACAGCAGCGGTCCCCAACTTTTTTGGCATCGGGGACCATTTTCATGGAAGACAATTTTTCCATGGCCTGGGGGCGAGGGGGGTGGTTTCAGGATGATTCAAGTGCATTACATTTATTGTGCACGTTATTTCTATTATTATTACATTGTAATATATAATGAAATGATTATACAACTCATCATAGGTTGGGGACCTCTGCTCTACGGTGTAGTACTGCTCTCAGGAGGGATGGGGAGTGCAGATGTTCCATAGATGTCTACTGTGTCTACTCTACAGTGTAGTACTGCTCTCAGGAGGGATGGGGAGTGCAGATGTTCCATAGATGTCTACTGTGTCTACTCTACAGTGTAGTACTGCTCTTCGGAGGGATGGGGGAGGCAGAACTGGCATCTAATCTTGCCTTCAGAGGTTAAGGAGGGCTTCAAGGGGGAAGTGAACTTTGAGCTGAATCTTGATTGCTGAGGAGGAGTTGAGGGGTTAGCCAAACAAGATGATGTGAGAGACAGGATATGGCAAGTGCAGGGAACTGCACTTTGATCTGATCTGATTGTTATAGAGTTCCCCTGGGAAGTTGGCAAGTGCCTGGGAAGAATTCAGAGGCTGGATTGTCTCAAGGAATAACTAAAACTCTTGCTAAGGGTGGCAGGTTGGCCTAGATGACCTCTGCAGAGCCTTGCAGGCTGAAGTCTGTGATGGCATTCGCACTGTTAAAGGATGCCTTTGATCACCTCAATTCCTGCAATCTGTTCTGGCTAATGTGCAGCTGTTGGCTGCTTAGCTGATGTTTGTCCAGATGGAGGGTGTGAACATGCCTTCAGGCTTGTCACTGTGTTTCTTTCCATTGGCTGTAATGCCAGGGACACTTAGTTTGTGCTTGCTCCCCAAGACTGACGCCTGAAATTAGCCACCATCTGTGCGAAGTGCGAGTGCTGGTATGCTTTAAAGTCATGGCGTGCTGTGCAATCAGCTGCCTGGGGACTCTCCTGTCTTGCAGTGAGCACACTGTGTGGGAAGTGCAGCCCCACTGACATGGACATCCTGCAGCCCTCCTTCAACTTCCTGTATTGGAGCCTTCATCAGACCACACCCAGCAGTCAGAAAAGAGGTGCAGGGGCCCAGGGCCAGGACAGTGAAGAGGAGGAGTGCTGGGCAGTGTCTGTGGCCCTCTCTACCCTCAATTTTTCCATCTTAAAAAAATAAATAGGGGTGTGCATGTGGCTAGTGGTCATAAGGTGCTTTCTGATTCTTATAACCTGTGGTTCTGTAATGAAGTTGGGACCCTTAGAGCCTCAAGCTGATCCTTTTGTTTGTTTTTGTGTACGTGCAGCCCACATGGGGTGCTAAGCTCCATGGTGGCACTGAGCTGGAGCTCCTTTGTAACTCATGTGGCCCCTGCCCTGCCCTACCCCCTGCAGCTGCTGCAGTGCTCCTGAGCAGCACAGCCCTGATACAGCTTCTGGAGAAGGTGCTGGCACTTACCTTGGCAGAGGCAGATTCTCCCAGGACCGCACTCCTCTGCTCCGCCTGGCTGCTCACTGCCTCCTTCTCTGCCCAGCAGCACAACGGCGGTTTGCAGGTTAGTCTCTGACTCCTGTGGGGGCTTTGGGGCATGGGGTGGCCCTCAAAGGAGTGTTGAAGATCCTGAGTTCTGGTCCCAGCTCTGTGGCTATGTGACCTTGGCAAGGTATTTAGCCCTCTGAGCTTCAGGTTCCTTACTTACACCATGGGGACATCCCAGGATTGTTGTCACGTTGGTTTAAATTAATCTATTTAACATACATGGATTACCTACATGCCAGGCTGTATTCTTGGCACAAAGGAATAAAAAATGAATATGGCATGTGCCCTACCCTTAGGGAACTTGTAGTCTTTAAGCAAAGCTTTGAAAGGTAAGATTGTATACCCAGCAAAGATATTAGGGAAAGGCATTCCAGGTAGAAAGAACAATATAAGCAAAGGCAGGAAGCTGCACAAATTTCAGACATGATATGTATGTTTGGAGAGTGATGAGGTGCTCTGTGTGGCTAGAATGTGGCCAGGGAATGGAGCAGGTCAGACTGGACAGGGAGGCAGAAGCAAGCCTATGACCTTGAAGTGCTATGTGGCAAGCTGTATAGTGCCACACATGGTTAACTGTATTGCTACTGTTCGAGAAAGTAATGCAGGGAACAGGAAAGCAGTGGACATATCCACAGAGCACCGCCTTTCCTCTCAGCCCCTCCTTCTTTTAGGATCTTGTCATTACAGTTCCATAGCCCTCTACTCAACAGCAGCGGTCCCCAACTTTTTCGGCATCGGGGACCATTTTCATGGAAGACAATTTTCTATCCCCCATGAAACCATGTCCTATCCCCCACAGTGTCCTTGCACCATGCCCAGTACTGTGCCAGTCTAGTGATGGCATACAGCTCATTTGTATAGAAGTGAAGTTAATTTTAAACTTTGGCCTCTAGGGTGGCAACAAATGGCAGCAAATCTGTGCTGTGACAGTTCCAGCAGATTATTGCCCGTGGTTGATTTGGGACAGGTACCTTCCCTGCTTTTCTGTGTGAGGCTGTTGGGCCCATCCATCTCTCTGCAGTCATCTGCCTAAGAGAAAATCTGCACCCTGTCCTTGGCTCTGCCCTGGCCCTCAGCTCACGCCTCGCCAGTTACCTACTCCTAGCTACTCCACTGCCCGACTCAGACCTGCTCACTCATCCTCCCCACTGACGTGGCCTATTTACCATCCTCTGGCTGCCAGCCTCTTCCTTCCTCTGCGTGTCCTATCCTGCACGGTCTGTCCTCACTTCTCTTCCCAGACTCCTTTGGTAGCCTTTTTGTCCTCCTCTTGGCCTGGTCCTCTGCAGCCTTGCTTTCTGCCATTGCCACGCTCCTTCCCTGTCCTCTGGCTGCGTGTTTGCTCTTCTCCCAATTAGCTGTGCTCCTTCACATCTTCATACCTTTTTTAAATTTGTTTTTCTTTTTATTTATTTATTATTAGTAGACTATTTTTAGGACAATTTTAGATTTACAGAAAAATCGTGCAGGTAGTGTAAAGAGTTCCCATATAACCCCTGCACAGTTTCCTCTTTGTTAACTAACATCTTACATTAGCATGGTACCTCTATACCTTTTTACAAGTTGGTTCTTTTGCCAAGAACCTGCTACTTTCACAGCCAACAGGGATTTTTAAGGAACTTCTTTGTGCCATACTCTGACAGAGCCAAGTAGAGTAGAAGTAGTTCCTGCTCCCAGGAAGCTCGTGTTCCAGTTGAGGACAGCAGAATAGACTCATAGCTTTGAACCTGCCACTCCAAATAGCCCCTCAGTTTGGACATTGCTTGACATTAAGGTGCATGTTCACCAATGCTGATGCTTAACTGTTTCTTAATATAGCTCCGGAGGGAGTGAGAGCAGGTGGCATTGTCTCCATTTCATAGATGAAGGAAGTGAGGCATGCTGAGAGAGTTGCGGTCACTTGCCCAAGGCCACACAGCTGGCAAGTGGCAGAGCCAGGATTTTTTTTTTTTTTGAGACAGAGTCTCACTCTGTTGCTCTGGCTAGAGTGAGTGCCATGGCGTTAGACCAGAGCCAGGATTTTGATTCAGCCTGACTCCAGATCTTCTGAGTTAGGTGGATGGTGGGCAGAGCCAGAGACTGAACCTCAGATGAGGCCAAGGAAGGCTCTCTGGTAGAGGAGGCCATTGAGAACAGGGGATATTTTGGAGAAGAGTTCTCCAGGAATGGACTTGACTCTCCTGTTCATGCTCCTGAAGCCAGGATTGGTGAGGCTCAGAGGACTCTGTGTGGCCTCCAGTGTCCCCTCTTGATGCAGCAGGTATGTGGCAAGAGGTGGTAGAAGAGATATGGTGGCAGATTATTTTCTGTCCAAGCTCACAGAATGTTATCTGTTTTCCCACTGCCCCTGCCAGGTTCACCAGACACTGTCTGTGGAATTGGACCAAGTTTTGAAGGCCCTTAGCTTTCCAAAGAAAAAGACTGCATTGCTCTCAGGTATGGGCTCCAGCAGGAGAAGAAAAGCTTTTCCATAGGTTCTGAGATAGGATCACCCAGGTCAGCCTATGGTCACTCTACAATTAGCTCATCATCATCACTTCCCCTTCCTATGACAGAGTGGGGTGGGAGGTTGAGAAGGAGGCAGGAGCTGGGTGTAATGAGTCTCTTGCTTTCAGCTGCCATCTTATGCTTCCTGCGGACAGCCCTGCAACAGAGCTTTTCCTCTGCCCTGGTGGCCCTGGTTCCTTCAGGAGCCCAGCCACTGCCAGCCCCTGAGGACACTGTCTTAGCTCCACTGGGAACATCACAAGTACTGTCCCTGGTTATTGGGCTGCAGAACCTCCTGGTGCAGGTAAGGCCCTTGCCCAAGAAGCAGTGAGGCCTGCTTCTCCCAGGATAACAGCAGGAAGGGGTGGCTGCCTGTCAAGAGCTTTATATCCCACTAGGGCCTAGAAGGTGGATTGGTCGAGACTTTTAAAGTTACGGTGACACAAACAAAACTTAAATTGGCTCATAACTGAGAAGTCCAGGAGTTAATACTGGCTTCAGACACAGGGAGATCCCAGAGGCTCAGACAATGTCGTTAGACTCCGTTTCCATCTCTTGGCTTTGTATTTCTCACTGTCAGCTTTATTTTCATGGGATGGTAGGATGACCAACAGTAGCTCCTAGCTTATATCCTCCCAACAAAAAGAATATTTCTCTTTCCCAGTAGTTCACAGAATTGTGTCTCATTAGCTTGGCTTGGGAAATATGCCAGCACCATGGCTTGGGCATGGGATGGTCTGATTGGCTTGGCCTGGGTCAGTGCCTTCTCTTGGAGGCTGGAGCATATTGTCAGCTCTCCATAATCCACATGGGCTGAACCCAAGGGAGGGATGGCTGCCCAAAGGAAAATTGTTACCAGAAGAAGAGATGGATCTGCGGTAAGCAAAAACATGTGAATCCCAGAGGGGTTTGTGTTTTACAGCATAGAAGACTCTTGGAGATCACTGTTTAGCCATTACATACTAAGTCTCAGCTCAGTGTTAGGGCCTACAAAGGGTGTCAGGGACCTCAGGAGAATGCCCCAGGAGTGGCTCCTATGTTAGGTTGGTGGTTGTCAAGTCTTGTCCTGTGGCATATCTATGCACAAGGCTCTGTGCTCTTTAGCGATCAAACATCTATCATATCATAGCACTTAGCTCTCTCTGTTTTAAGTTTCCATTTTCATATCACTCTTCCCAATCAGACTGTGAGATCCTAAAGGCTCAAGCACAGGGACTGAGTCTGGTTAATCTTTGTGTCTCCTTCCCCTTATGGGTTCTAAACTAGTTAAGAATTCAGAAATAACAGGAGAACCAAAACATCAGCTTTATTGCTGATAAACACCATAATAGAATATAGCTGGGACTTAGGGTCAGAATGGGCTTTTCTTTTGTCTGTAAATTTTCAAACATACAGAAAAGATGAAAGAATTTTATAGTGAACACTCATGCACCCACCACCTAGATTCTACCAATAAAAATTTAATATACTTTATTTATCATATCTATCCAAAATGTGCTTTTTAACAACCCTTCTTCCCCCAGCCAGACCAAGGGGCCCACAGGTGGGAAAATTTGTGTTTGCACTGTGGATACTTAGCCAGCTGGCCAAGATCTTAAGAGTTTAAGTTCATAGGAGCATGACCTTTAATACCTTAATCCTGCCCTGGTGGCACAGTAGATGTTAAGTTAGTGTCTTGCTTCTTAGGTAAAACCCTCTTGGGCGAGGAGGGCCAGTGAGAGAAATGCTTTTCCTCTAATGTTTCTGAAAGAGCTGAAGTTCCTGTTTGATTAATAACATTCAGAACACAGGGAAGAGGGGAATGATTCCCTTTTACACAATACTCAGTGTAGAGTTTGGCAAAAAATTGGCATCCAGAAATGTTTGTTGAATGAATGAATGAGGACACAGATATGAATATGACATGATTCCAGCCATTTAGGCACTCACAGATTGTAGGAAATACAAATATTTACAACTAATGCCAAAACGACCTATTACCAATTGAGCATTCCTAATCTCAAAGTCTGAAATCCGAAGTACTCCAACGAGCATTTCCTTTGAGCATCATTTTGGTGCCCTAAGGATATGATGAAAATAAATGTTGTACTGACTAGAACTCCAGGAATCATGTTTGGTTAGAAGGAAATACTGGATAAACTTTGGGGCAGAAGGTGAGACCCCTGGTTGTGATTAGAGGGTCAATGAGGAGTGCTCCTGTTCCATACCCATCACCTCCCAGTTTGAAACTATTTGGATAGTAGACACAGGAACCCGACAAAGGTCTAAACTTCCATTTTATTGGTAAGGCTGATGGGAGAAATGGCTGTTATATATGGCCACAGTGGCCTTCCAATAACCTCACCCCAGAAGGAAATGTATTCACCCAGTCACAGGCAGAGATGGACAACCCCAGGACTCCTTGCCCCACCTCTTGACCCCACAGAACCTATGTGTCCTGGTGAGCCTACTCTTTGTCCAAGAGCAGACCCAAACGGTCCTCTCTGCAGGCAAGTGGATTCAGGTGAGAGTCTGCTATAGGGGCTGAGCTGAGTGTTTCTTCTCACAAAGTCATCAATTGGACTAGTCACTCTTCCATCCATGGGGAGGAGTTGATGGGGGAGAGGTAGGTGTCACTCTGGAGAGGGATACCTATGGAAACTGAGTCCAGGGGCATGCTCTGGAGTGACAGCAGGTGGCCTGTCTGTGGAAAGGGTGGGATTGCAGGGTTTTGGACTGGTCCAGTGGAGTGTGCTGAGTGAGGGGAGATGGGTACTTCCAGCTGCTTCCTCTGTCCCCTCACCCCAGTGCTCAGCCACACCTGTGAGTATGCATTAAACAGGTGTTGATAAGCCTCAGGTTTGAAGTACAGTGGATTAGCTTGCTCAGCATGGTCACGTGTCTTCATCTGGCCCTGCACCTGGAGGTTCAGAATGAGGCTCCCTGGGCTGGTTGGTTTTGCTTTCCATAATTTGCTCACCAGGGACAGATGGTCTTGGTGCTCTTTCAGACTTACTTCTCCGATTCGAGCCCAGGTGCTACATCTGTGGGGACCCTTGGGGAAGGGAAAGGGTGGGCCTGAACAGGGAAGAAACAGACATCCTTTGTGCTCAGACTTGGCTTTCTAATTGGGATGGGAGTGGAATGTGTTGTTATGAGATTGGAAATCAGGCAGCTATTTAGTTTTACAGACTTGAGGCTTTGATCTCAGGATCATTCTTACAAGAGTAGGTGTTGATGTCAGGTTAAGGTTCTGTGAGAGAAGGTGGGGAGGAAGGAAAGAGAAAACAAAACCTTCTGAGTGCTTACCCTGTGCAAAGCACTTAACATGTTATTTATTCATGTTATTATGTTCTCCTCTTAAGGTAGAAATTATCATCTCAGTTTTATAGACAAGGAAACAGAGTGCCAGAAATGTTAAGTAATGTGCCTAAGGTCACACGCTTTTAGGTCAGGATTCAAACCGCAGACTTTTTGGCTACAAAATACGTGTTCTTTCAGTGTGCATCTTGTGACCTTCCTGGAGCCACTGTTACCTGAGACCCAGTGGCCCCAGCTCCTCACCCACCATCCAGGGGCCCCTTGCTGGTATATGGGGTAATATGGAGACAGGGCCAGAGAGTGGCAGTAGACCCACAGTTCCTCACCAGGTGGGGAAGCTGTAGCATAGAGGGCCCCTGGCTGTTTGGTCTTGGGTACCTGGGAAGAGGCTGGAAGTGCCCACTGGTTAAGAATTCATTTTAGATTAGAGACAGAGAAAGGGCATTGGACCAGGAATCAGGAGACTTCAGTATAAGGTTCTAGTCCTGCCACTCAGGTATCCTCAGGTTAAGTATTTTGTCTCTGGGTCTTAGTTTTCTCAACTGTAAAATGAAGTGGGTGGATTACCTCAACCATTTCAAACCCTATGCCTTGAAGGCCTTAGGAGTTCTGTTGGGGAGTTTTGGGGGTTGCTAAAGAGGGGAGAGTGTTTCTCTTTTTATGCATTTTACTAGGATATTCACCATTTTTGTTTACTTTCTGCCAAGCACTGTTAAATACTCTGGATAGAATATTTAACTATCCATCTCGTCTGACCCTCTCCATAGCCTGGGTAATCTTTTTATCCCCACTCAGCAAGGTTCAGTAAGTTGCCCAGAGTCAGAGGGTAAATAACTAAGCAAGGATTCAGACCCACGTCTGCCCCATACCCTTAACCAGCTACACTGCCTTCCAAAGAATAACATGAGGCAAGCATAGATTTTTGGTAGTTTGTTTTTACATTTTTAAAAATAAGTTTTATTGAGCTATAAGTTACATACAATAAAATTCATCAATTTTAACTATACAATTAGATGATTTTGACAAATATATATAGTTTTATTAACACTACCACAATCACGATACGAAACATTTCTATCACCTCAGAAAGTTCCCTTGTGCTTCTTTGCTGTCAATTCCCTCTCCCCCATCCCTGACCCTTGGCAAACACTGATCTGCTAGAATTTCATATAAATTATACAATATTTGGTCTTATGTGTCTAGCTTCTTTCACTTAATGCTTTTGCAATTCATTCTTATTGTATCAGTAATTCATTTCTTTTTATTGCCAAATGGCATTCCATTATGTGGCTATGCCACAATTTGTTTATCCATTCGCCTATTTATATACATTTGGGATTTCCAGATTTGGGGGCTATTATGAATAAAGTTGTTCTTTTTTTAAGATTAAAGTTGCTCTTAATACTGAAGTACAAGTCTTTGTGTGGATATAGGTTTTCATTTCTTTGGGGTAAATACCTAGGAGTAGGCTTGCTGGGTCAGATGATGTATTAGTTTTCTATTGCTGTGTAATCAGTTACTACAAATCTAGTGACTTACAACAGCATGCATTTATTATCTCACAGTTATGTAGGTCAGAAGTTTGGGTGAGATCCACCAGGTTCTCCATTTAGGGTCCCACACGGCTGAAATCGAGATGTTAGACAGGCTGCATCTTATCTGGGGGAAGCAGATTCTTCCCCAGGGGTCTCTTTAAGCTCTTTAAGGTTGCCCCAGTTCTTTTTCACATGGCCCCTTCAGCTCCAAACCAGCAATGGCTCATTGAGTCCTTCTCACACTTTGAATATCTCTGGTTCTTCTTCTGTGATTACACTGGGCCCATCCAAACAATCTCCCTTTTCCACATAATGTAACAGAATCACAGGAGTAACATCTGGGTGCAAAGGCCATTGGCCATCTTAAAATTCTACGTACTATATATGGGAAGTGTATGTTTAACTTTATAAGAAACCATCAAATTGTTTTCCAAAGTGGCTGTACCATTTTATGTACCTACCAGCAACATATGAGAGTTCCAGTTCCTCCATATTCTCACCAAGACTTGGTATTGTCAGTCTTTTTAATTTTATCTATTGGTAGATGTGTAGTGGTATCTCACAGTAGTTTTAACTTGCATTTCCCTGATGACTAATGCTAATGAAATCTTTTCATATGCTTATTAGAGCATAAAATTTTGATTAATGAAAGGTTCTGCTGCTTTTAAAAAGAAGGTTGAAATGGGCCCAAGTACAGTGGCTCACACCTATAATCCTAGCGAATTGGGAGGCTGAGGTGGGAGGATCGCTTGAGGCTAGGAGTTCAAGACCAGCCTGGGGAACATAGCGAGACCCCATCTCAACAACAAATTTAAAAATTGGCCAGGTGTGGTGGCATGTGCCTCTCGTCCCAGCTACTTCAGAGGCTGAGGCAGGAGAATTGCTTGGGCCCAGGAGATGGGAGGCTATAGTGAGCTATAACTGTGCCATTGTACTCCAGCCTAGGTGATAGAGTGAGACTGTGCCTCTAAAACAGAAAAAAAAAAAAAAAAGGTTGAAGCCCACTGGCTTAGATAAACTGTGAAACTCTTCTAGGGTCTGTAATCTGTGAATATTTAGTGAGGCCCAGGGTCCATCTCCTTTGATGAAACAAAACACTCTCTTGAATGTAGGTAAACCACCCAGTATAAGCACTGTGCTTTGTATGTGGGTGAGAGATGAAGCCAACAAACATTTCTTGATTATCTACAGGGCTACAATCCCAAATCTGAACTTCTAAAATCCAGATAACTCTGAAAACCAAATGTCTTTTCTTGATTGGCACCAAAACCCATTGTTGGCAAAACCTGACCTGAATTTCTGTTTTTTCTGCAGAAGGACCCTCTATTGTCCCATGCCTGTGTTGGCTGCCTGGAGGCCTTGCTTGACTACCTACATGCCCGGAGCCCAGACATCGGTAGAAACTCTCCCCATTCTCTGACGTTCCCATGGGGGAGGTTGAAGCCAGCCCCTGCCACTCTCCTTCCCCAGGCCACCCTCCTTCCTTCCTGTTATGTGATGCATATTCATTTCGTTTAATTCTTTTAACAATATTGCAAGAGTACTGGCATGTCCATTATACAGATGAGGGCACTGAGGTTCAGAGAGGTCAAAAGACATGCCCAACCAGGGTCACAATGCTCTTAAGTGGCAGAGCCCTTCCTACTGCCTGCCTCCCACAATCATGGGGTATATAGTTTTTTTTTTTTTTTTTTTTTTGAGACAGAGTCTCACTCTGTTGCCTGGAGTAGAGTGCCGTGGCGTCATCCTAGCTCACAGCAACCTCAAACTCCTGGGCTCGAGCAATCCTACTGCCTCAGCCTCCTGAGTAGCTGGGACTACAGACATGTGCCACCATGCCCGGCTAATTTTTTCTATATAGATTTTTAATTGTCCAAATAATTTCCTTCTATTTTTAGTAGAGACGGGGTCTCGCTCTTGCTCAGGCTGGGGGGTATATAGTTTCACTGAGCAAGTTGGCATAGTGGATAGAATCCCAGGGAAGAAAGAAACCTTCTGGGGTCAGCTTGTTCAAAGCACTGTCCCCAGTTCAGCAGCCCCTTTTTGAGCCAATAGGAGAAGGTCCTCTTTAGCAATGTTCCAAGGCCTTTGGAAAAGCAGCATTAACAACCCAGGGTGACTGGCATTTCCTGCAGCACTCCACGTGGCCTCCCAGCCCTGGAATCGGTTTTTGCTCATTAGCCTCTTGGACGCTGGAGAGAATTCCTTCCTTAGACCCGAGATCTTGAGGCTTATGACCCTGGTAAGTGCAGAAAGGATAATCTTGTGCTCTGAACAATGTCATGAGCTGGGTGGTGCTGAAGAGGCCAGGGACACCTTACTTTAGGTAACCCTAATCCTGAAAGAAGGCAGAGGGGCTGAGTGGGTCTTCATCCTACAAGAGGCCTGCTCAGAGGATTCCTCTAAATGCCCACATATGCTCTCCTTAGGAGACCCTGACACCTTTTCTCTTATTTCTCTTATGAAGTGTTGACCAAGGCCTACCCACTACATGCCAGATCTGCTAGGTCCTGAGGATGTCAATAAACCAAATGCTCTGCCTTTAGGGTCCCTCAGTCTAAAGAAGGAGATAGGCAAGTAAATTAATAGTTAAAATGTGATGTTAGGAGCACTAGAGTAGAGGAGATGCGAACTGCTTGGCACACAGTAAGTGCCCATTGAATAAGCAGTGAGCCTATGAATGGCAGTGAAGTGGATCAACAAATAAACCAGTGGTTGGTGGGGGATCACGGAAAAGAGTAATTGCTCCTCAGCAGTGAAGGTAATATTTTAGCTGAGGCTTGAAGGATTAATAGGCAGAGAGGAGGAAAGGTATTCCAGGTAGTGTGGTGAGAACAGCAGGTACAAGGGTACATGGTGGTGTGTTAGGGGAACCACACAATTCATTTTGGCCATGAGTGTGCAGTGCAAGGCTCGGGGAGGGGGATACAAGGCCAAAGGGGTCAGTAGAGCCAATTCTCTCAGGGTCTCACAGTTTCCCTTGTTAGCCCACTTCTCTATGATACAAACCCACCTTTCATACCAACTCTGAGCTCCTTGAAGGTAGGGTTCTGTGGGCTTTAGAACAGTGTCCCCAGAGCAGTGCTGAGCATAGTAGGGGCACGACAGATGTCTACAAATGAAGGAGATGCCAAATTACTGGGTGTTTGGGGCTTCTCTTCCTGGGCCAGTTTGTACGGTACCAGAGCAGCAGCATCCTCTCTCATGAGGAGGTCGGTCATGTTCTGCAAGGTGTGTCTTTGACTGACCTGTCTACCCTCTCAAACACCACACTCCAGGCTCTGCGCAGCTTCTTCCTACAGGTGGGTGAGAAGGGGATGCCATGCACCACTGTGAGGATAGACCCTCAAGACCATCTTCTCTGTGAAGGGTGGGAGCTCTGGCTACAGCAGCCAATGGGAGGTTGGGAGTGCAGGGGGTGGGAGGCAGGTAGAGAGGGCCCGTGTGGAGGAGGCACTGAGAAGGCCTGCCTTCCCTGCTTCTTCTCCCCTCAGGTCCAGAGCATGGGCCTCCTGGCTGACCACAGCATGGCCCAGACCCTGCAGGCCTCCGTGGAGGGCCTTTCCCCTAGCGTCTCCTTGGGCCAGCCACCCCTCCAGGACATGCTGTATCCTTTCTTGCATATGGGAGCCTTGGCCTGGGCAAGGTCACCCAGGTCATGGAAGGCTGTGGCATCATGCTTTAGGACAGAGAGGTGCACTGTCTATAGCCCTCTAAAGTAAGCAGGGGTCAGAAAGAAGAATTAACAGTGTTAGCAACAATAATGACTTGTTCTGTTTATTAAGTTCCTACAGAGGGCCAGGCAAATTACATGCATTGTATTTAAGCCTCATAGTAGTTAGGACTGTTAAAATAGTTGTAGCACAGGTTGAGCATCCCTGCTCCAAAAGGCTCCAAAATTTGACTTTTTGAGCACTGATATGACAAGCGGAAATTCCACACCTGACCTCATGTGATGGGTCACAGTCAAAACTTTGTTTCATGCACAAATTTTTTAAAAATATTGTATAAAATTACCTTCAGGCTATATCTATAAGGTATATATGAAACAAATGAATTTCATGTCTAGACTTGGGTCCTAGCCCCAATATATCTCATTATGTATATGCAAATATTGCAAAATCTGAAATCTGAAACACTTCTGGACCCAAGCATTTTGGATAAGGGATACTCAACTTGTACCTAACTCCAAGGGTTGTTGCAAGGACTTAATAAATTAATATGTGTAAAGTGCTGAGAACAGCACCTGACTAGGTGTGAGTGCTATATTAGTGTTTTTTATTATTATTCCTACTTTCTTTCCTAGATAAGGAAATTTAGACCAGAGAGGTTAAATGGAATGCCCAGGATCACCCAGCTAGTGATAGCATCAGGATTTGACCCCAGATTTGCCTGTCTACAAAGCCACATCACCAAACTCAGGAAGGAGCTAGTCCTTCCCCAAGAGCTTTGTAGAAAGTTGCCCAAGCCCAGTTGGCACAAGTGTTCCTCAGCTCAACACGGGGTGTGTGTGAGGCTGTAGCAGTGTTCAGAGGCTCCCTTGGGGACTGTTGTGGTGCTCCAGAGTCACTGAGGTCAAGAGGCCTGCGTGTGGGATAGGGTACTTCCTCCCCACCCACAGGGGCAGCCTCCCTGGCTCTCCTCCTTGCCCTTTCTATGGGACAGTTCCCCATTGTATAGCAACTACCTAGCCCAGTTGTTCAGGTCCCAATTTAGAATTCATCCCACTATTCTTAGGAACACTTCTGAGCTTGTCTGATCATTCTTGCCTTTTCGGGGCTCTGGAAGTGTGATTCCCCCAAGGTTGGCCCCTCCTCTCTGCTGTTCTCCTCTCATATTTTGCTGCCAGCTGCCTGGGAGGGGTGGCTGTATCCCTGTCCCACATCAGAGACTGACCCTCAGAACTTGAAGGCCCAGAAATGAACTGAGACCTGGAGACAAAGTTGGGAAATGGATGACAATTGAAGCTATTGATCTGGAGCCATTTACTCTCCATTGTTGAAATGCAATCAGGAAATAAAATGTACACTCACATGCTAGTGTGGGCTCTCCAAAAACATTTCACTCTGGATTCATCTTGTCTCCCTCGCGCTGGTTTCTCAGCCAGTTGGATAACGGATTGTTTCAGCAAGGGATTGACAGCCTCCTCAGGGAGACAGGACGGAGCGTTTGTTCTGGCAGCACTGGAGGAGTACCAGCTGGGTGCCTCAGTTGTACTCTGAGAACACCAGTCAGGCCGTCCTCGGGGCTGGAGGGGCAGACAAAGGGCCCGCGGCTGGGGCTGCTGTGATCCAAATGCTCTGGGAGGCACTTCTGCTGCCTCACCTCACGTCGAGGTGGAGAGAGGTATGGTTCCCAGGAAAGGAAGGTCAAATTCTTCTCAGCCCTTGCGGCTGAGCGAAACCGGCCTTAGCCCCTCCCAGGCTACAGTAGGTCCCCTCTGTTCCTTTCCCTCACCGCCCTCCTCAGAGCCTGCATTTAAATGCCCAGGGGAGCAGTTCTTATTCTCTGCTGGGCGCCTGGCACGCAGTCTGCGCTCCACATCTGTGCCTGCTCGGTTCCGAGCTCAGCCCAGCCTGGGCCTCCAGCTCCCTTCCCGCCTGGCAGGGCCCCCGTGCCCGAAATGGACACGCCGCCCGCCTCCTCGGCTCGGGCTGTCCTGACCCTAACGAACCGACGAATTTGGTTTACAAGTTGGTAGATCAGAGGGGCGAGCAGGGGGTGCCTGAACTCCGCACTGCAGGCTCCGCTAGGTCCTTAAAGAAGAAAAAAAGTGGCCGGGCGCGGTGGCTCACGCCTATAATCGGCATTATAGGAGGGAGGCTGAGGCGGGAGGATCGCTTGAGCCCAGGAGTTTGAGGTTGCTGTGAGCTAGGCCGACGCCAGTGCACTCTAGCCCGGGCAACAGAGTGAGACACTGTCTCAAAACGAAAAATAAAAAAGAAGAAAAAAGTGCTAGTCACTATTCACTAAATTGATCTTGCCAACTGAAGTTTTAAAAACACGGTCATGGATGACGACACAGTTTCGGGGAGGGCGCGTGGAAGGTTGCCGGGTCGGCCGGCAGGAGCGAGGGCCCCAGTGGGCTGACGCGCCAGTGAAGTGGGACGCAGACCCCGTCGGCAGGCTGAGCTTCCTCAAGCCCAACCTGCGTCGCGGGCCACTGCGCCGGCACCAGCGCTAGCCACGGAGTAGAGTGGGCGGGACGAGGCTCTGTAGACAGCTCCCGGCACACCCGCCGGAGCCCCGTGGGGCGGGGCCGGAAGTGAGGTAACGAGCCCGGCGGTCGCGGCCGGCGCTCATTGGCCGGGAGCGCGATGTGGGCGGGGCGGCGCTCGGCGGTCCCCATGCTGCTGCTCGACCCGCGCTCCCGTGTTCGCTGCCTTTGCTGTTCGCCTTGTGGCCGACCCTCGAGCCGCGCTGCACGTCGAGGGCCTGTCCGTCCACACTTTCTCGCACCGCTGGGCCAGGTAGGTGGTGGCGGAGGTGCCGGACTGCAGGTCCCTCCTGGGGAGAGAGGTGCGGGGACCCAGGGTCTCCAGCTTGCTGCAGAGTGTGGAGAGGAGTTTCGTGGACGTGAACGCCTCTTTTCCTTGAGAAGACTTGCTCCTTCTTAGCCCCGAAGGCTCGGGGCAGCAACCTAGGCCCGCGACCCCGGGTAGCCGGCTTGGGGCCCGCCACCACCAGGTCACCTCTGCAGAGTAAGTTCAGAGCCGGAAAGAGCTCTGGGGACGCGCAGGGCAGGAGCGGGATTGAGAGGCTGAAAAAGTGGGTGTAACAGTAGAGAAAACACGACCGATCCCCCCCACCCCGAAGTCTGCTTTTTCAGCTTTCGTTTCCCACTTCTCCCCTACTGCACTCATTGCTGGCTGTGTGATACTCTCCTTTGCCTCCCAAGTTTTGCACTAGGTTCTGGTTCCCTTGAGTCTGGAGCAGGACGGTGGAAAGTGGGGGGTCCTGGGGGAACCTCAACTACTCTTTCTCTAGGCTTCAGTTGTCTCATCTGTGGGGAGTGGAGCGTTTTCCAGATGACCTCTGTGTCCTGTCATTGTCTATAACTGAGCAACTCTCTTCCTGGGACAGGTGTCCTAGTAGATCAGGGCCATCCCTGATCTGAGGTAGCCTATGCACATTTAGAAAGAGACTGGGGGCCGGGCACAGTGGCTCACTCATGTTATCCTAGAACTCTGGGAGGCCGAGGGGGGAGGATCGCTTGAGTTTAGGAGTTTGAGTCCAGCCTGAACAAAATCGAGACCACGTCTCTACTAAAAATAGAAAAAATTATCTGGGTGTGGTGGCACAGGCCTGTAGTTCCAGCTGCAGGGGAGGCTGAGGCAGGAGGGTCACTTGAGCCCAGGTGTTTGAGGTTGCAGTGAGCTATGATGAGACCACTGCACTCTAGCCAGGGCAACAGAGTGAGACACTGTCTTAAAAAAAAGAAAAAAAAGAAGGAGACAGAGCACTGGACTTACAGCCAGACTATTGGTTCAGCCTGGGAATAGCTGTATGACTTTGGGCAGTCACCTCACTTTTCTGTGCTTTAGTTTCCACATTGTTAAAATTGATCAGCTGTCAATTTGAGTGTGAGGCCTCCTCTAACCTCTTTATGTAATGTTACACCAGACCGACTCCCTCTCATCCTTCTGTGCTTGCTTTACAAGTTTATTGATCGTCTTTTGTCTCTACTAGAGACATAAGTACCAGGAGTGCAGGGATTTTTGTTTGTCTTATTTATTGCTGTATTCCCACCTCTAGAACAGTGCCTAGAACATGGTGGGCACTGTCAACCTAAATAACCAACAGAGAGGCAGACTTGCTAAAAGAATATAATGTTTTTTGGGAAGTAGACATTGCAATGGGAATATGCGTGCCATAGTAAGCTACATACGTATTTGGGGAGGTAAAGGAAAACAAAGATTTTAAAAGGAAAAGTGAGGAGGATTACATAATTATTTTGAGATAGTTACACGGATCGATAACAAGAGTGGTACCAATCTAAGGTTGGACCGGCAGTTACTGGGCAGATGTCCTTGCAGAAGCATTTTTTTTATGTAAGGTTGCAGTGGCCTTTGTGCAGGGTTGTGGCTTTTGCAGTTTTTGTGATAGTTCTTATCT